TTCTGCTACTACTTATTGTCGATCTAAAAGCTGATATAAATCTTTAATCCTACTGTATATTACAATGTTTATGATGCCAATAAATTTGTTTAATAACCCTAAATATATTAAATGCCCCGGCAGCCCACAAATTATTGAAATAGTCAAAAGATACCCTTAATATAGTTTTCTATGATTTGATTAGTTTCCACCTAAAGCCACAATTGGGATATATTATAATACAAAGTTAGAAAGGAATTGTACCATAACTCAAAAAGGATCATCCTTTAAGATCAAGGTTTTTAAATAAAATTAAACTGTTCTGCTTTATGTTCTGTACCCCTGTAGTCTAATTCTTGATTGGAAAGTCTACGGTAGGCTGTTTCCAAATTTCACTGCCCATTTCCCCACAGGATCATAAAGGTCTTTTTGCAGAAGCTAGCAAAGATTTTGTTGGTTTTATATTTTATTAATTTCTTTCTCTGCCTTTTGGCACTGTCCTCAGGCTTTTAAAAAGTAAAAACTAGAAAATCATGGTGGATTATAACAGGATTCAAAATCTTAGTGAACTACATACACAACCATAGTAAAACAAGAACTCACTGCTAAACCCCAGAGTTCCAATTTGGGCCAAAGAAAGCAGTTTTGCTTTCTGATTCTAAACTGAAGACTTCAAAGTTTTACACATGTCGTTACAGTCAAATGTGGCAGAGTTTCCACACTCAATTTTTTCTCAGCCGATAGAAAAGATACCTTTTGTTGATCCAATAGCTGAAAACACTGGAGATAGATTGAGAGAGGATTTGTTAAGGTGCATGCATGATATGGATGAAGCTTCATACCGATGTTTATCATGCATTTGGCAAATGGAAATAGAGAGTTGAATTAATCAAAAAGCCCTTTTAAACTACAGTACTTAAGGACAATATTTATTAGATTAGTACCTCATTTGCAGTAGATGTTATTCTTTTTAAGATCATGCCCAGTTTTATTGTAGATTTGTATCCAACCTGATATTCCCATTTTGCTGCCTTAATAAGCATGTTATATGCAGACTGCCTACCTATATATGCAGAAAATGCCTTTTTTGGGGGGGGGTGTAAAGGTTATTTATAAAGAATAAAAGAATGAATCAGAAAAAGAGGATTCTTACAAAATCAAGGTCCTTGGACAGGCCCAAGCAACCAATCTAAACAAAAACAAAAGGAAAGCACGGATAAACTATCCAAAACAGCCACCTAACTAGCCTCAAAGAGGTCTATACAAAAAAGCCCAGCAGCACAAAAAGCATTGCAGGACTTCAGGAGAATAAAAAAACTGCACATACTGTACAAAAAAAAAAAAAAAAAAACAGCCACAAAAAAGGTGCGTAAACCCAGCAGCCCAAAAGCAAAAAACCAGCAAGACAGGAGGAAACCCATAACCACATCTGCAAAATTCCAGGTTCAACTCTGTACATAAAGGTCCCACCGGCGTACCATCCAGTCCTGCCAACAAAAAAAATTGCACACCCCTGCATATTTTCACCACTTACAGCACAATGGCCTGCACATCCAACAAAATAAATTCTACCCTCCCCCGCAAAATTACTCAAATGACGCAGCATAATAGCCTGCAAATAAACACCACTGACAGCGTAATAGTCTGCACAACCAACAAAATAAAATCTGCCCACCCCTATACAATTGCTCAAATGACAACACAACGGCATCCAACTAGTGACAAGAATTCCTCCTTGAAGATACATAGCTATTCCATGCAGCACACTCTCCCCAAGATACCCCATATCCCTCAAATCACTCCTGGAAAATGTAGCTTTGGGGCAAACCATCAAGACAAACACCAGAGAAGGACCAAACATCATAGATTTTTCCCCACACCAAAGACTTCCCAACTCAAATTTCAAAAACCAGAGAAGAACTAAACAGCTGTAGTAATAGAACAGAAGACAAAAATGGTTTAAAAAAAGCTCCATCCGCCAGCAATATATCAGAGAACTAGGATCCAACGTATCCCCATCAAAGCTTTGATAATCTGCAAACACAAAAAGAACTCCTACACAATAAAAAAATGTTAGCATTCGGATATATCTTCCTCTACTTTTCATGAAGGCTTGTTGATGATCAATTAGGTCTATGAGCTTCATCAATTAAGCACTCTTTGGGTAGATTCCAATCCACCATTACTCTACTAGTTCTTCCTGTATTTTTAAAATGAAGGTTGCTCAGTCTAAGTCCAACAATCTCTCTGACTTACCGCTTCACATACTCTAGGCTCTTGAGTTTTCTTTGAAAAATACGCTGATTTCTCTCTTGCCACACGCATAGACAGATGCCCCAAGGAGAAGCCTACCTATTACAGCTTTAACTTTCTTTCCTTTGAAGATTCTCGAAGACCAAGCTACAATATTTTCCCAGCCATTCATAGGAGACATGAGTTTGCCTTTGACTTGCGCAGTCCTCCAAATGGCTTGTGAAAATGGGCAATCGAAAAAAAGATGGTCATACGTCTCATTACTATTGCCACATAAAACACACGAGGGATCGTCAGAGCTACTCCACGCCTGCATCCGGTCTTTGGTTAGAAGTTTCTTTCAATTGGCAGGCCATAATATAAAGGCATGCCGTGGGATACCAGTGCTATTCCAAACAATAGTAGCCCAAGGAACCTTAGTATTCTCCATTGACAAATCCTTCCCTGTTTGAGATGAGGAGAAATTAATTCGTCGTCCATTAGCCGTCTTCCAGAAAGTTTCATCCTTCCATAAGGACCCCGAAGTAGAAGGAACTTGATCCACAACATGAGGAAACCTGTCCCTAATGATATCTGGCCAACTCCACTGCCCATTAACCAAAACCAAAACAAGAGCTTTCTTCTGAATCCCAAATCTCCAGTCTATTCTACTGATATACCCCTCTTGTTGTCTGATCATGAATTGAAAACTCGAAGTGTTTACATGTGTCCATCCCACAGTTCTAATGTGGCTGAAATTCCAAACGTTGCTTGTCCGCAGTGCAGGCAGAAAATGACCGTTGAGGTTTTTTGTGTAAACGTTAGTAGTAATCCAGTGGGCACAAGCCCCACCGCCGCGGCTGAGGGAGGGTTCGTTAAAGGGGTGGTGACATACATGGTAATGGATAACTTGGAGTTGAAGCCAATGTCTACTAGTTCTAGCATCACCATGCTAAACAGGTTTGATGTTAAGAATGTGGGTTCACTTGAAGAGAAGGTTGCTCATTTTGGCGTTGAACAGGTATGTCAAACACATAATTTTTCTGCAATTGATTATTGAATGTATATATGGTATTTATAAATAATATTACTATGAGCAAAGTTGAGCTGAGATGGGATTTATTCTATATTTTTGTTAGGTTCTGAAGCTGCTGAAGGCATCATTGGAATGCAAGAATGTATTCACAAGTATTTTCCTTGGAAATAATGGGGCACAAAGAAGAAGCTGTACCTGAATTTGATTATCAGCTGGGACTCGTTTTGTCTTTCCAAGCGTTTCGGATATTAATTAATAAAATTAGCATGAAGTTTTTTCTTTAATATAATTAAATTTGGAAATGCATTTATATTATCTTTTGTTTTTTTTGTAACAAAAGCGTCTAGATCAATTAATTGACCATCGAATCTACATTTATAAAAATTCTTAATATTTTTTTTCTCATCAAATTAATTTAAAAAAAAAATGTGATAATAATGTACTAGTTGGTGGTATAACAATAGAATATATTTAATAAAATCAAATTCTTGATTTATTCTAATTTTTTTTATGAATTTAACTAAGACTAACCCTAGTTAAGCTTTCTTAACAGAAAGCTACTACTGATATTAAACAAGTATTTACCAGTTTGAGCTTGAGATGAATTATCCACAAGCCTTTTAGGCCTGCCGCCAGAGACCCTATTTGATTACCCTACTATAATCTTTGAGACCATGTCCAACTCTCAGGTGTCCCACCTGATGATGCCCATTTTGATTTCTTAATTAAGATATTTTTTTCAGATTTTTTGAATAATGTTTACAGATTAAGCAAGTCTACTGTAAATGTAGCAGTTACATGTAAACTGTTGTTTATGATACTTAAGTTAAGGTCTACTTTTTTAGAAGAAACTATATGAAAGTTCTTTAATTCAAGAGAAATAGGCCTAGCCTTTTATAAGTAAATCATCCAGAAAAAATAAACAGCACATATATACATTGCTTTTCTGAGTGAACCTGTTTGATTACTCTTTTTCTTGTGCTTTAGAAAATAAACAAAAAGAAAATAAAGAGAACAGAGTTGGGGCATGAGAATTAAATTAATCAAAGAGGATCATATCTGAATAGGTATGCTGTTCGGACCCCACTAGCTAGGGCTGAATATAGGGGCATCATTCGTGAATATTTCAACAAAACGCAATTGCTACTTACACAAACTAAACATTTGTTTTTCACTTTTTTTGTTTTTTTCATAATTTGAGTGTTCAGACCAATTTGTACTTACCTCAATTAATCTTTAAAATTTATTGAAAACTCTATAAATCTAATGAATCAAGTAAGTCATAAACGTATTATTCATTTGCAACTAAAACTCTACATTAATGAGAGAAATTAATTAATACATATCACATTCCCAGAATTTATTAAAACGTGTATTTATATTTAATTTATTATTGATGTTCCAAATGTTGGAGGATTATAGTTTGTAACTCGGATTCTTACATTGATTGCTAAGTTCAGTTTTCTAGCCTCTCGTATCCAAAGATTGAATTAACAATGAGCTGTTTTTCGATTTTGCAGATACCCACTTCAGCACTAACTCGTCGTGATCTTAAAATGCTGTAAATAGCGATAAATACTGCCACGAGCATTGGGAAACAAACGGACTGGCGTTAAATAAATCTTCAATCATTCGCCAACAGTTCCTCTTCCTATGGAGTGGATCCGAATCAGCTTTAATTATTAACTATATATGTGTAGCTTTGCAATAGACCAATCATGGTCACCTTGTTCCATACAAAATAAAAATATCCATGGCAGATTCCAAGGTGACGTTGAAGCTTCTTGTTGACACACAGGCTGGCAAAGTCCTTTTTGCTGAAGCAGGCAAAGACTTCGTAGATTTTCTTTTCTACGTTCTTTCTTTGCCTGTTGGCACAGTGGTTAAGCTCTTAAGTTCGAAAAGCATGGTGGGTTGCTTAGGTGATCTTTATGATAGTATCAACAGTCTTAGTGAAACCTACATGCAACCAAACCAGAACAAGAACTTGGTGCTGAATCCAAAATGTCCAACATGTGCCACTGGATTACCTCTTTTGATGTCTCATCAGGAATCGAAAACTCAAAAGTTTTACACATGTAATAACGATAACGGTAACGGATATTCTCACAGCTTCGGGTATTCATACAAAGTTCATTATAATGTGAGTGATGTACCAAATGTTCTTTGTCCTCAATGCCAAAAATATATGAACCGTGAGATGTCTTATATTTCACCGGCACGTGAAAACACTGGAGCTGTAGCTGTTGGAGGGTTTATCAAAGGGGTGGTGACTTACATGGTGATGGATAATTTAGAGGTGATGCCAGTGTCAACTATATCTAGTATTACTTTGATTAACAAGTTTGATGTTAAGGATGTCGGTGCACTTGAAGAAAGGGTTGTCGATTTCTGCATAGATGAGGTAATGTTAATAATCTTAAGCTTTGTGTTTGCCTATTTATCATTGAGATTTTCATCTGTAAACTGAAGAATGTTACTTTCTGTATTATCTGTTTTCAGGGTGTGAAGCTGTTGAAGGCATCTCTGGAATGCAAGAATGTTTTAACAAGTATTTTCATTGGGAAGAATAAGGGCAGGAAGTAATTAAAGATATTCAAGGCATTAGTTCTGTTATGCCCGGGAAAATAAAGGGCTAACGTGGGAAAGTCACGTTAAGGGTGACCTGCTCCCGTCAGGGCAACACGCACATTTCAGACCTGCAAAATAGTATGGAGCTCACATGCGTCCATTCCTCTGCAGCAAGTCGTGCGAAGTCAGCTTGGAAAAAGGAAAATGGGACGTAAAGCCGGATTATATCCTGACAATCACACCAACCCATGGATTTAATGATGATTACACGCTTCAATTTGATATAAAATGAAGAAGACCCCTCCATTAAGGGGATTCGGCCATTCTTTACAGAAAACAACTCTCTCTCTCTTGTAAAAGAAAACACTTACTTTTCATAACTCTTATGTACGTCAGTCCGCTTCGCGACCTGACCCACACTAATATCAATACAAATCAGTGGACGTAGGACTTGCTACCTTAGCATCCGAACCACTTTAAAAGTCTTCTTTGCATTTATTTCACTTCATATATCCATTATCACGTGTATTAATTCATCAAATAGTGATGCCCACGTGACAATTGGTTGGTGCCGAAAACGAGCATCAACAGTTTGGCGCTAGAAGGAGGGGCCTTGATTTAGCGTCTACCCTTCATCAGGAGAATCTTTGACCTACTGGTCTTACAGCTACAATGGCCCGCCAATCTGAACCTGAGCAGGGGAACCAACATGCCGAAGGAGTCCCCCCAGCCCAGAGGGACACCCCTTCCAACATACCTCCAGTTTCGCAAAATGCTGTTGGGAATACCCCAGCAGCTCCGCAACTGGACCCTGCCATCAGAAGCTACCTAGAAAGGTTCGACAATACTCTCCAGACGGTCAACCAGAGGTTGGACCGTCTGGACCAAGGCATGTCATCTACGACAGCCGGAGCGGTACAACCGCCAAAAACGCCTGCAGGTCACGCGAAAGCGGGGCAAAGGGTGATAGCCCGTGCCGCGAGCACTGCAGCGCGTAAACGCAAGGGTAAGCAAGTGGCAAAAAGTAAGCCTATGGGCTCCCAAGGGCCAGCGAATACAAAAGGCGCCCCGAGCAGGGTGTCGGCAAAGCTGAGACTCGGTGAAAAAGTGGATCCCGAGCTGTCCCATGCCACGTCGCAAGCAAACCCGATCGAAAATGCTGGGTGCGATGATTCCAATCACCACCAGCAGAACGATCCCGATCGTTCTCATGCGGGTCGCCTCCATACCTCGCGGGGCGGTTCCTACCACCGCGAGGGTCGTGAAAATGCCCTGCACAATACATCGCCTTCACACGCCTCTAGTCAGCGTGTGTCGAGCGCAGCGGGGAATACCAGCCGAGGCGAGGAGGGATCCGACCTCCGAACTCTCCTGAACCGCAACTGGGAAGGCCGGGCTCGCATGGGTGAAAACAACCCAGGTATGGCTCCGTTACCACAAATTGAGGACCTGCAGCGAGCTCTGGACAGGTTAAGGGAGCAGCGAAACGAACAGGCGCAGGTCACCTCTACATCCCCATTTTCTCCTGAAGTGCTAGCTGCTCCACTTCCACCAGGGTTCAGAATGCCGGATATGCGGCCGTTTGATGGAAACTATGATCCGCAGGATCATTTATATGAGTTCAACGACCTGATGGAGCTCCACCAGGTTTCGGACCTTGCGAAATGCCGTTGTTTGGCCGTGACACTGACTTTTCATGCCAAACGGTGGTTAAGGTCGCTCCCAGCGGGATCGATCAGTTCGTGGCCTCAGATGAGCACGACGTTCCTGCGGCATTTCCAAGCCAACCGGAAATTTTCAATGCCGTTGAGCTACCTTAGCAATGTAAGGCAAGAAAGAGATGAATCCCTGCATTCTTACATTGATCGCTTCCACAGGGAGCTCAACAAAGTGGCTCACGCACCAGAAGAGTCCATCCGAACTCTTATAATAGCTGGAGTTCGCCCGCAAACCAAACTGTGGAAAGAACTGTAGGCTGAGGACGATATTTCCCTCACCAGATTCTATAACCTGGCAGAAAAGTATCTTCAAATAGAGAATTCGCTGGCGGCGCTCCGCCGTCGCGATCACGGCACTCCCAGTGGTATGTCAGGTCGGGGAGACAATAGGCGAGCTGATCGCAAGGGAGACATTGATGGTCAGCGAAAAGGGAAGAAACCCCGCTACGAGCAGAAAAAGTCCTATGCTCCTGTCCCCCGTCGCGACCGCGATGGGACCCAATACACTCCGTTGAATGTGTCCATATCTGTGATCCTCGACAAATCCGAGGAAGCTAGCCTGCTCGGTGAGCCTGAGCCAATGAAAACCCCCGCTACAGCTAGAAACAACAAAAAGTACTGCCGTTATCATCGGGAAAATGGGCATCTCACCGATGAGTGCCGAGCTCTAAAGCAGGCTATCGAAGAGCTCATCAAGAAGGGGCACTTCAAGGAGTACATTGATGACTCCCCAAAAGAAAACCAAGGGGAGCGAAAGAAAAAGCGCCGTGATCGCAGCGGGTACGACATTGTTACTATAATCTTCGGAGGTCTGCACCTCGCGGAAACACGCGAGGAGCGCAGGAAAGATATGCTCGCGAAGCTCGCCACGACCCATTAGGGTAATAAACACTTCGCACGACCTCAAAAAGCCCGAAAAGAGGAACCGATCACCTTCTGTAGAAAGAGGCAGCTCGCTTGCACCATCCTCACGAGGATGCTATGGTATCACCCCCCTGATAGGGTGTCTAATGTCTGCAGAATGTGTGGACAACGGAAGCGCTGTGAACATTCTGTTCAAGTCCGCTTTCGATAGAAGAACCTGGTCGAGGCCGACCTGAAGCCAGCCTCGATGCCTCTGTACGGTTTTACAGGGATCACCTGATCCCAGCGGAACAATCCAGCTCCCAGTCACGCTCTTGACTACGACGGTGACTAGGGTTACAGAATCTTGGTCGTGGACTGCTATCGGCCTTCAATGGAATCCTGGGCGACCTCTACTGAGAACTTTCAGGGCAGTCACTTCCATTTATCATCTCAAGATGAAGTTCCCCACTCCAACGGGATAGGGGAATAAGCGGATCACAAAGCGCATCTCGCGAATGCATGTAAAATCAGTCCAGATGGCCGACAAAGGAAAGGCATTTCGCGGTGTGCACCCCGCCATGCTATGGCGATCAGCCGGACCGAGCCACAGCCTGGTCCAGCGGAGGATAACATAGATCCGCGAGTTCAAAATCCCCCCGCCGGCCGGTTGAGGATCTGTCCAAAGTTTCGGTTTGATCCAAAAGAGCCGAGCCGAATGCTAAATCGGAAGCTGTCTCAACCCTCAGCTCGCTTCCGAGCTGGTAAGCTTCTTGAAGGAGAACATTGATGTGTTCGCCTGGTCACATAAGATATGGCCGGGATCAGCCCGAACGTTTTTGCCATTCACTGAACGTCAGCAGTGAAGCTAAGCCAGTTCGCCAAAAGAGAGGGCAATGGATCCGGAGCGGTACGCCGCATTAAAATCAAAGTGGAGAACCTTCTCCGCAATGGATCTATTCGCGAGGCTCTCTACCCGACCTAGGTTGCTAACCCGTTCCTGGTAAAAAAGCCATGGCGTGGCGGACCTGCGTAGACTTCAGCGACCTGAATAAACTTGCCGCGACAGCATTCCCCCTGCCAGAATCGACCAGCTCGTTACGCCACCTCGGGGCACGAGCTGTTAAGCTTCATGATGCATACTGATACAACCAAATCCTGATGTATAAGCCAGATGAGGACACTACGACCATCATTACGGACCGGCTGTACTGTTACAAAGTCATGCCCTTCGGCCTCAAGAATGCCGGTGCGACTATCAGAGGTTAGTCACCCGAATGTTCTCCGACCAGATCGGGAGGACAATGGAGGTCTGTGGACGACATGCTGGTCAAATCCCAGGTCGCCACAGAGCATATTTCGCATCTCGCGAGATGTTTGACATACTCCGACTCTACAGAATGAACTGAACCCTCCAAATATTCGTTCGGAGTATCGTCAGGAAAGTTCCTGGGATATATGGTCAATCAGCGGGGCATAGAGGTAAACCCCGAAAAGATTCAAGCTCTGCTCGACATGGAAAGCCCGACCAGCAAAAGCAGTCATGAGTCTGAACGGGCAATACGGCACTTAGTCGCTTTATATCAAGGCTAACAGACCGCTGTTTACCATTCTTCAATGTTCTGAAACCAATAAGAATTCGAGTGGACTTCCGAATGCGAGCGCATTCCGAATATAAAGAGCATCTTGGAAGCCACCTCTCCTCTCTAAGCCTCTTCCACAAGAAATCCTGCTCATCTACCTGTCCGTGTCTCAGTTCGCGGTCAGTGCAGCTTTAATACGGAAGAGGAAAAAGTTCAATGGCCGGTATATTACCAAGTAAGCGTCTATCGATGCCGAGATGCGGTACCCGAAAATGGAGCGACTGGCTTTTGCCCTGCTGGTCGCGTCCAGAAAGCTGCGACCTTACTCCACGCCCATCCAATCAATGTAATGACGAGCTACCCTCTCAGGCAGGTCCTCCAGAAACCGGAGGCCTCAGGTAAACTGCTCAAATGGGCCATAGAGCTGAGCCAGTTCGACTTAAGGTATACACCCAGGTCCTTCAAAGGGTAGGCTGTTGCAGACTTCATCTCGGAATTTTCCTATCTCCCAAGCGCAACAGTCTAGCGAAGTCGGGCAAGAAACTATTCAGAACCTGTCGACCTGGAACCTCTACGTCGACGGTCTTCTCCTGGTGAGCCCCGAGGGGTTCGGATTCATGGTATCCTCCGGTTCGGGTTTAAGGCAACAACAATGAGTCCGTACGAAGCTCTGCTCGCCGGGTTGCGGCTCGCCAAAGAATGGGTGCAACCACGATCAGTGTTTACAGCGACTCATGCTGGTCGTCAACCAAATTCTAGGGGAATACCAAGCTAAGGAAGAGAACATGGTCCGCTACCTGAAAAAGACCAAGGTCTCTTTGGGGTCGTTTAAGCACTTCGAGATCGCTCAGATCCCCAGGGAGAGCAACTC